GACTTGGACTTGCCGGCTTTTATATGGTTATGAGCCATTTTTCTAAGATAAATTTCTCTCTCTCTCTCTCTCTATAAATATATATATACACTTTGCTGGTTTTTGTGTTTCTCTAGAGAACCCAATCTAACACAATATCTAATCTATATCCTGGAATAATTATATACTAGGTAAATGTGGAAAAAATAAACTGCTTAAGTTATTATATGACTATACCATGCAGTTTCTTCAATTATTCACATACCTTGATCTGTGGAATTTTATGAGACAGTTGACTTGTCTCATTATCCATCTTGGTATATAAAGAATAGCTTGTATTCTTATTCTTTACAGGATATATTACATGCTCAAATCTAGCTGAAGTCTGTAGTGGTTCAATTCCATAACTGATACTCTCAAACTGTATTAAACCCCTAGAAATAAGAATAGCATAATATATTTTTTTAAGTCAGTGAAATGTCATGTAGTGATATTAGAATCCTTAAGGATATTTCTAGTCTTTCCCTTTGAGAACAAAATAGGAAATAGGAGGAAGAAGGTTTCCGAACACTTACTGAATGATACAGTATTGTAATAGCACTGACATTGACCCCGTTGTTAATATGTCATAGTTCCCAGACAATCTAAGATAATGCTGGCATCATAACACGATTCCTCATTCTATGCTTTCCCATGACTGGTAGTATTACCCTAATATGCATCCCTCTACTCTGGAGACCCAAAGACTTACAAAATAAAAATAAAAAATCCAGAAAACATTCCATTTTGTATTTAATAAACAATGTCAAAACCTCAGTCCAGAACAGGTGCTAATGGTCACCACAGAATTCAGAAAACCTTCAATATGACCTTGGTAGTTGCAGAGATTCTGGAGATTAAAAAAAAAAAAAAAAAAAAAGCAAAATTAATACATCTAAAAAGGTAGACTTTATGAATGATAATATCTTTCATACCTCTGTTGTTGTTGTTGTTATGTGCCATCAAGTCGGCCCCAACTCATAGCGACTCCTCCTTGGGTTTCCAAGGCAGTATCACTACAGAAGTAGGATTGCCCTACCTTCCTTCTGAGGGGTGGCTGGTGGATTTGAACCACCAGGCTTCTGGTTAGCAGCCAAGTGCCTTAGGCACTATGCTATAATATCTCTGGGAATTTTATATGCATATGCTTATGTATGCATCTCTGTCCTATACTTATTGCACTTTGCTCATGGTTGACAAAATACCTTTGTATCATTATTAGAGATGCCCTGGCTCAATCTGCAATATTCTTCCATGGATGCAAAGAGAATGAATGAATTTTTATATTCCTTCCTATCCTATTGTTGAATGTGACAACCATTAGATCAAGGTGAAATGGAACCAAGTCTTTTATTTTTCATATAACTTCTCTTAATTTTCCAAAATAAGACTAATAAAATCATAGAGAAAAGTTCCTTGTAAAAATGAATTGATAAAATAATT